TTCTCCAAATATAGTTCAAGCTTTGACTGAAGAATGAAACTGACATCTTTGCATTACACTTACATAAATGGCAGACTCACCATCGTAACCCTTAGTGGTTGTGTTTGGGGCTGGAACTGGCTGGGCCTAAAATCCAACCTCCTGATCAGTTTTTCTGTTAGAATCTAAGAACTTTAAACGTCAAAGAATCTTAGCTTATTTCTCAAGCATTACTTTAAACAAAATAAGAAATAAGTTGAGATTTTTATTTTCTAATTTACTTATTCAATTACTAGCCCTACGTACTAAGAAAGCAAAAGTTCTTATTTCTCCTTTTTTTTTTTCTTTTTTTTTGATGGTCTACACAGGGATGGGAAAGTTCTTCTTGAAATAAATAGCCTATACCCTCTTGTGGGTAACAACAATGACAAAAAAGTGTCTGCAATTTGTTCCCAAGTACGTCCAAGAACAAAAGCAGACTCTTGGAAGAAACCAGTGTTTACATACAGTTGCTATTCAAAGAACTTAAATATGGAGCAGTTTAGCATATGGGTATGAACGCACTTTGCCATCTGATTAATCCTCGTAAATGATACTTAAGATGTGTCCGCCCATGACTGTACAACATTTGAAAGCCTAGACAAAAAAACCCTACACTTACCACACTACAACTACAATTGCAATGGCTACTTAATTTATACAAATAAAGATATAACTCAACTCGCTAAGTAGAAGCCAAGCATATTACTTCCTGAGACACTAATTACAATGGATTTTAGACATTTTATCTCATCAGCATACAATTCTGTTTTTTGTTTTCACATTTTTTTTTATTTGCATTCTTCTTGTAATATCCTATTCAAAACTGTGGTCACTAGCCCAAGTCATTTTTCAGGAACATGTTTTAAAAACAATGTCAAAAGCTCTATGGAAATGCAATTAAGGAACCACTAAGTTACTTAACTACATTTAGGCAACAACACTTCCACCTCTCGTTTACTGACTAAAGATGAATAAGGATGTTCTTGATTCTGCAGTTTCATAAGCTAGGTCATAATTTACAATATACCAAAGGAACTGTATTAGAATACTTCAAAAAAATAATTTGGAATTACCTGAAATAGCTGCATATGAAAATGCACAATAAATAATGGTTTACTCAGGCGCCTGGGTGGCTCAGTGGGTTAAGCCTCTCCCTTCAGCTCAGGTCATGATCGCAGGGTCCTGGGATTGAGTCCCACATCTGGCTCTCTGCTCAGCAGGGAGCCTGCTTCCCCCCACCCCTGCCTCTCTGCCTACTTGTGATTTCTCTATGTGTCAAATAAATAAATAAAATCTTAAAAAAATAAAATATGAATATCAACCTCTTTTTCTAGAATGGTGCACTATTTTTATAAATATTATGGTGGGTTTCCTGATGTCAAGACAAATTCAGAGCCAACAGAAAGAAAAAATATATGTATTTTAGGTGCAAACACAAAAAATATCCCCACTTTGCCAATCCTGATGAATGCTTAGAAGACCCGCCCCCAGCTTTACAGACTATGACCAAATGCCTTAAAAGTTGCAGCTCCCCAACCATCATCTGGATAGAAAGATCCCAAACTGTTCAAGGCCCTTTTGTAATAGTGGGTTCCAATACTTGCCCATGTGCTCACTCTATTAACTGTGTGTGTCTGCTCTCCCCTTGGGAGTTCACAGTCTACTCTGCAGCAGGTATTACAAAGTCATGGTTAAGTGCTGACCGCTGACTCAGCCTACCAGAGTTCAGATCTCCACCACCTCTTGTATGACCTGAAACAAGCTCCTGCGCTGAGCCACGTTTCTTTGTGTCTTCAAGGAGGGTGAAGGGAGAGGACAACACTGAGATCACACAACTGAAGGACTTCCTACTCACACAGTGCCTGGCCTATGCTACCACTGATAAATCTGATAAATCTGAACTATTGTTAAACAGGCAGTTTTTTAGCTTGAACAAAATACAAATATATTAATTTTCTAGACACTCCATCTAAGAGGAATGGATCTGTTCATATTAAAGAAATAAATTATAGGTCTGGACTTTTCAAGCCAACGTTCTCTAGGCCCCAGCTAACAGCCTGAACCTCCTTCTAGAAATGGTTGGGTATTCCCTAAGCCCATCTCTATGTGGAGGTGAGGTGACTTTCACTCAAGCATTCATCCTCGTCAGATGCTTCCACATTCATAACGCTGATGAACATAAAGCACGCCTGCCAAAAACATGGCTCTGTGGTGAAATAATATACAAGAACAACATACAGAGGTACTCGAGGAACTTGTCAGGAAGCAAGACCACTGCTCTAAGTCTGTCCCAGAAAGCTCCACTGAGAACGTGCTTATGGAAGGTGACCTGAAGAACGTACGATCCCCACTGACTTATCCAGATAGTCTAAAACAGACGCTTAAATTAAATTAGTGTAGAAATCTAAGTACTTAGATCACATTATCTCGCCAGCACCAGAACTGCTTTTGCTGAATTACATTCTGATGTTCTGTCATCAACCTACACAATGAGGCAACAAAGACTTCTAACTAAAAAACAAAGTAAAGCACAACACAGTCCTCTGAAATGTTGTTATGCCCTTAAAGATGTAGCTGAGGAGTCTGTCAGTACAAGGAGTCTCAGAATCCAAAAGAGAAATTGGCCTTTTAACTTAGAGTCACTGAACTGTGCAACTGATTATGCTTCTCTCTGAACTGGCTGCTAAAAAGCAGTCAAATTTGAGCCCCACTAACAAGTATTTAACCCGGTCTAAGTGCTTTGTGTACAGGTCCCCTTCCACCTTAATGAGGATCTCACAGATGTGTTTGCATCTTCGTTTTTCTCCCTCGGTGCTAAGTTCATCACCCCCTTACTTCTGTATGTTCTCAATAACATGCTGTATCTCTGTAAGCCGCTACCAATGCTTTCTGGAAGAAGACGTGACCTAAGTAAATGACACGCTCCACTTAAAAAACATCGTAACAGTAAGGTATTTTCTTCTATTAATGAGCACTTTATGAGTTCAACTTGTAAACGCATGACCTTTTTTGTAGTCCAAAAGAAAGCAAATATTGTGTCTAAAATTAGGAAACTCTAACAACAGGAACTACAAAAATAAAAGTTTCATTATGTATTTTTCACTCTGGAGCACCCGAAAATTACAAATATATCCCATGTAAAAATCCCCCAAAAGTCATTTTTAATTTTAAAATACAGGCCAAATCACCAGAAATGCAATTATGGTTATTTATTCTGCTTGGGAATTGAAGAGACTAGCTTCAAAAAACGGTTCATGAGCTTGCTGACCATCTCCTTCTGAGCGGCCTGTGCCTGGGGTACAGGAGGCCGCCAGCCACACCTTTAGGTGAAGCAACACAGAACTGAGACCCAAAGGCTCTTGCTACGTTGCTGCTTCAGGGATTCCAGCAGTCTCCCCGACGTCATCTGAGGAAAATAAAGCTTAAGAATCTCAGTGTGTACCGTCTCACCCATTCCTGAACTCACGCTCTGCTAACTCGCCACCTTTAACTGCGCACCCGTCCGAGTCACGGAGACAATGACAGCTCTTCACCCCGGGTGACCACACACGCGTAAGCCACCAGAAACACGGAAACTGCTCTACCGCAGTAAGAACCACGGCTTCTGCCCCAAGGAGCGTCATCAGACACAGGAGCTTCACCATCTAACTCGCAAGCAGCACCACGAAGTCCAGCTTTTTCCCGAAGCGTCTCAGGAGCCTCACCCGAGTGCCAAACAACACGTAAGTTACTCATCAGGGGGTGACGGTGAGCCACCGCGTGCCTCCCGAGGGCGCGTCCACCGCCACCCAGTCCTCTGCAGGCACCGCCGACTCGTCCCGGCCCCGCGTCCCCCCACCCCCGCTCGTCTCCCCGGGACCCGGTCCTCGCGACCCCACACCGCGAGCTCCCCGACGGGGCTGCGGTCGGCCCCGGGGCTCCGTCTCCGCTCGGTCCGGACGTGGCGCGGAAGGACCTTCGCTGTCCCTGACCCGCATCCCGTTCGGAAGGCAAGTGACCCCTCCAACCCGGACCCCGTCCCGCCGTCCGCGCAGAGACCGCGACCTCCGCCAAGCTTCCGCCGCGCACCACCGCCTGGCCCGGCCCCCCCGCCCCGCAGCTTCCTCGGTGCGAGTTTCCAGCTCACAGACTTTACACGCAGCCCCGGGGTCGCGGGACACGGCCAGACGCGGTTTCCAGACCCACAGCCCCGACCCGCAAACCCGAGCACCCGAGCCGACGCCCTCCACCCCAGCGCCGTGAGGCCGCGACATGCGCGGCGGCTTCCGCGTTCACCTCAGGGCAGGACGAGCGCAGGACCCAGGCCGACGCGGCCGTCCGTGACCCTCTAAGCGCCCCCCCGCCCGCCCGAACTTCCGCGACGGCATCACCCCGCGGTCCTCCGACACAGCTCGCGAGCAGGGGCTTCCCCGCCCGCCCCAGGCCCCCCCGCCCCCGGCCGCCGGCGAAGTCGCGACAGGAGTTCGAGGCCCGGAACCGGGAAAGCCCGCACGCCCCCCGCCCCCGGACCTCTCCGCCCCCAGCACCCACGCGGGGTCGGAAGCCCCGGCGTCGCTGCGACCCGGTCTGCGCCGTCCACGCGGATGGGCCCCCGAGCGGCCCGGGGCCCGAGCCCGCAGGGTCCCCGCAGCCTCCGCGCTGGAGAGCGAGAACGGAGCCGTCGCGCGGGGCGGGCGCCGGGAACGACAGGCGCGTGTACGTCGGGGCGCGGCCGGGCCCGCAGCAGGCGGCGCGAGCGCCTGGAACGCCCGGAACGCCCGGCTGGGCACCACAGGCTTGAGACGGCCGGTGAGGGCCGCGCCGCTGCGCCCGGGGCTGGGCCCGACGGCGGCTGGACGCGCCGGAGCGAAACAGCCCCGGCCGGGGAGGCGGCACGGGCGGATGACCCAGCAGCCCCCGCCCGGACGGCGCCCCCGCCCCGCCGCGCCGCCCGCAGCCGACAGCCGCGCAGCCCCCGCCGGCGCCCCAGCGCCCCGTACCTGCGCTGCGGCTCCACGGCGTCGGGACCGCCGCCCTCCGCGCCTCGCTCAAAGGGTCCCCGCTCCGCCAGTCCGCGACCCGCCCTCCGGCCGGCCCTCCCTCCCTCGCGCCCCGCCCCCGGCGCCGCGAGCGCCCGTCACGCACGCACGACGCCACTTCCGGTCCCGGCCTGCGGAGGGAGGAAGTCGTCGCGGCGCCGCTCTGGGCCCGCGCTGGGCGGAGCGAGGCAGAGGCGGTGCCCGCGGTGCCCAGTCGGGCGCGGGGGCGGTGTCGAGGCCGGCGGTCGCGGCAGGCGGAGGAGCGAGCGCTTCGTCCCCGTGCCCGCTTGCCCCGGTGCCCGCCGGCCCTCGACGCCACCGCCGCGTGCTCGGGAGCCGGACGCCGCCGAGGCCGCGCACAGCCGCCGCCGAGGCAGCAGCGGTCGCCGGGTCGCCGGCCCGCGGGGAGCGAGGCCGCGTGGGAAACCGTAACCCTGACCCTCTCGGTGCCGGGACTCCTGGTTTCCGAGGTCCCGGCCCGGAGGGAGGTCGGCTGGGCCGGAGGCCGTCCTGACGGCGGAGCGGCGCCGAGGCCCGCGGACCCGGTCGCTGGGAGGTCAGGAGCGTCGGGCCCTGCGGCCGCCTCGGTCTGCTGGACGCCGTCTGCGGGTCGCGGCCCAACGGAGGGGACGGAGCTGTGGCATCACAGACCGGCTTCGCTCCTAGCTGTCCCGGTGGCCTCGGACAGGCGCCCGGTCGTCCCCTGCGGACCCAGGCGGACTAGCTCCCGGTTGTCCCCGAACGCGGGCGGAGCGCGGCCCCCGCAGACGCGGGCTTGTGGTGGAAGGTGGGTGAGGGGGCGGCGCTGGGGGCGAGCCGGCGCCTTCGGTGGGGACGGGTCGGGGGCGGAGGGCGTGTCCCCGGCGGAGGGGTCTCTGCGCCGCCGAGGACGCCCGCACCCCGCTCCCGGTGGCCGCACGCCAGCTTCGCTTCGAGCGCGTTTTCTTCTCTTTCCCGGTCACGCCCCAGAAGTGGCCCCGCCGCCGCCCCCCGGCCGCGGCCCTCGCCGTCCACTCGTCTGTCGGACGTCGGTGCTGCCCGCCGGCGCCCGGGTCTGGGTGCGCGTGAGCCGCAGGCGTCCGTGGACTCCGGTTTGTGTGTCCCTCGTTGGTCGGTTACTTCCCAGCCACGAACCCTCCCCGCGTGTCCCCTGTGCCCGGCGAGGACCCGGGGAGTGTCGGACCTTCCGCAGGGGAGGCGGGGGCCGGCGAACGAGCTCCCGGGAGCGCAGGAGATGGAGATGGCGCGGGGAGGGGAGCGTGCGGAGCGAGCGTCTGCGGCCGCGGAGGGGAGAGCCCCGGCCGGGAAAGTGATTCGAGCGAAGGGCCAGGGAGCTCGTCGCGCGGGTGCGCAAGGACCTGGGCAAGGTGCTCGGTGCGGGGACGGGTGCGGGAGCGCTCTCGACGCCTCCCCGCCGTGCAGCGCAGCGGAGTGAACTGGGGGGAGGCAGGAGGAGGGATCAAAGGTAACGGACACAGTGAGTGCGGGGACAACCCCTCGGTCAGCGTGGGAGGGAGCCAGAGTGAGGGCGCTGGTGGGTAGGACGTGAGTGGGACAAGCTACCCGGTTTGCTTCTCTCTCGGAGACGGCGGGGTGGGAGGCTACTGGAGAGGGGCCCCAAGGTTCTGTTTAACTGAGGAAGCGATGTTTTAGTTCTTGAATTTAGTGTTTTATCTCTTGATATGTATATGGATATTCGCTGTATTTTTAATTTCAACTTGTGCGACTTTTGCATGTGAATTTCTTTTGATATTTATTGATTGATTGATGGAGGGATGGAGGGAGGGAGGGAGGGAAAATCTTAAGCCCAACTCAGGGCTTGATCTCACAAGGCTGAGATCCTGACCTGACCTGAAATCAAGAGTTAGACGCTTAACTGAGCGAGCCACCAGGTGCTCCCTTTGCATATGAATTTATAAAAATCAGTCCCATTGGAAAAAGTGAGGATTAAAAAAGGGCTAAAAACTCATCTTGGAATCAAAAGATTAAAGAATCAAAGATTCATCTTGGGTCAAAAGAAAAAGAGCCAGCAAAAGGAGAGTGGGAAGAAAAAAATAGAAGAGGAAGACATACAAGAGGAATAATGTGGAAGTTAAGAGGAAAGACAAAGCAAAAGGATTGATGGGAAGAGTCAGAATGCATAGAAAGGTTAGATAAGAAGACTCTACCCAAGAGAAATGAAAATGTATTAATAAAAGTGGAAAAAAGCAGGCATCCTTGTCTTGTTCCTGATCTTGGGAAAATGTTCACTCACCATTGAGTATGATGTTACCTCTGGGTTTTTCGTATATGGCCTTTATCATGTTGAGGACGTTCCCTGCTATTCTTAGTTTACAGGCTGTTTTTTTACTCATGAAAGGGTATGATAGTTTTTAAAACTGTTTATTGTAAAATATAGTGACATAAAATTAACAGAAGAATGAATTTGGACCCTTACCTAACACCATATACAAAAATGAACTCAAACTGGATTAAAGACCTAAATGTAAGATATACAATTTAGAAGAAAACACCGCTGAAAAGCCTCATGACATTGTATTTGACAGTAGTATCTTATGCAACACCAAAAGCACAGGTAATAAAAGGAAAAAACAAAAATTGGACTTATCAAAATTTAAAATTTTTGTGCACCAAAGGGCACAGTCAACAGAATACAAAGGTAACTCACAGAAGAAAATATTTGCAAATTACTTATCTGATAAGGGACTGTTACTCTTAAAACTCAACAACAAACAACCCAATTTACATGAGATTTCTTTCCATTTCTTTGTCATCTTTGTTTTCTGCAAGGTTTTAAAGTTTTCATTGTACAAATCTTTTACCTTGTTGATTAAATTAATTTCTAAGTATTTTATTCCTTTTGAGGGTATTATAATTGGAATTTTCTTAATTTCTTTTAGGTTGCTCATTGTTAGTATATAGAGGGGTGACTGATTTCTGTGTGTTGATTTTGTATTACTACATTGCTCTATTTATTCTAACAGTTTTTTTCTGTAGAATCTTAGGGTTTTCTACATACAAAATCACTTATTTGAGCAGAAATTACTTTTTCCTTTCTAACCTGGATGCTTTTAACTTCTTTTTCTTGACTAGTTACTCTGGCTAGAACTTCCAACACAATGCTGAATAGAATTGGGGGGGTGGGACGAGCATCTTTGTCTTATTCTTGATCTCAGTGGCAACACTTTCTTATCCCGTTGAATAGAATGTTAGCCCTGGGTTTTCATATGTGGCTTTCTTATACTGAGTCAGTTTCACTCCATTCCTAGTCTGTTGAGTGTTTTATCATGAATTGTGTCACAAGATTTTTCTCTCTCAATTGAGAAGATAAGGTAATTTTTTCACCTTTAACTCTCTTTAGACCATCTTTATATTCTAGGACTATATCCCACTTGGGCACAATATATAATCCCTTTGATATGCTGTGGAATTCAGTTCACATTTTGTTGAGAATTTTTGTATCAATATTCATAGGGGATGTTGATCTGTAGTTTTTGTTTTCATTTTTGTTTTTTCCTATAGTATCTTTGTCTGGCTCAGTATTGGGGCAACAAATGAATTAGTGAGTTAGAAGGCATTCCCTGCACTTTCAGTTTTTTGGGAAAGTTTGAGAAGGATTGGTATTAGTTCTTTAAATGTTTTGTAGACTTCTCCAGCAAAACCATCCAGTCCAAGGCTTTTCTTCATTGGTTTTTGATTACTGGTTCAACCTTGTCACTAGTTACAGATCTATCTGGATTCTCCATTTCTTGGTGATTCAGACTTGGTAGGTTTTCTATTTCTAATAATTAGTCCATTTCCTTTGGTTAATTTGTTGGTGTATGTATGTTCATAGTATTTTCTTATCATCCTTTTTCTTTATGTGAAGTTAGTAGTAATGTCCCCTCTTTAATTTCTGATTTTAGCAATTTGAGTCCTCTTTCTCTGACATTCTAGCTAAATATTTGTCAATCTGGCTGATTGTTGTTGTTGCTGCTGTTTTTTAAGATTTTATTTGTTTATTTCAGAGAGTGAGAGAGAAAGCCCCAGCAGGAATCAGGGTCAGAGGGAGATGGAGATGCAGACTCCCTGCTGAGCAGGGAGCCTGAGCCAAAGCCAGATGCGTAACCAACGAGCCATCAAGGAGCCCCAGTTCTGCTGATTTTTAAAAAAAATTTTGGTTTTGTTTTCTATATTCTCTTTTTACCCTATTATTTCACTTTTCTCCACTCTAATGTTTATTTCCTACTCTTTGCTAACTTTGGCTCAGTTTGTGCTTCTTTTTATTTAGTTCCTTTAAGGTGTATGGGGGCACCTGGCTCAGTAGGTGAAGCATGAGACTCTTGCTCTCAGGGTCATGAGTTCTATCCCCACATTGGGTGCGGAACCTACTTAAAAAAATTTTAAGGTGTTTAGTTAGGTTACTGATTTGAGATTTTTTTTTTTTAAAGATTTTATTTATTTATTTGACAGAGATCACAAGTAGACAGAGAGGCAGGCAGAGAGAGAGAGAGAGAGAGAGGGAAGCAGGCTCCCTGCTGAGCAGAGAGCCTGATACGGGACTCCATCCCAGGACCCTGAGATCTTGACCTGAGCCGAAGGCAGCGGCTTAACCCACTGAGCCACCCAGGCGCCCCTGATTTGAGATTTCTTAACTATAGATGTTTGCAGGTAGAAATTTCACTTAAGCACTGCTTTCAGTACATTCACTATGTTTCGTATGTTGTGCTTTTATTTTCATTTGTCTCAAAATATTTTCTAATTTCCTTTATGATTTCTTCTTTGACTTCTGGTTATTTAAGAGCATTTTTAAAAAATATTCAGTTATTGTGAGTTTTCCTTCTGTTACTGATTTCTAGTTTTGTTCCACTGTAATTAGAAAAGACATTTTTATGATTTTTCAGAATTTATTAAAATTCATTTTCTGTGGTGATTATGTGATATGATACAGGTTGGCTAACGCTGATAGAAACATTTGCAGTATAGAAGCATATCAAATCAACACATTGTACACCTTAAACTTACATGATGTTATATGTCAATTATATCTCAATAAAGCTGAAAATTTTTAATTAAAAAAAAAACTTGTTT